ATTAGCTCAAGGTCTGGATCCGCCACTGAAAAGCATGTCTCCTGGTTGTAACTTTGCAGCAGTGCCAGTAGATCACTGGGATTTATAGCAAAGCGAGCAAAGCAGCGCTATCAATTTCAATAAATTCGCCAGAAATTCAATTTTCTCGTTAGTTCAACCCAAGTGAGATGCCCAATAAAACAACAATTACAATTCGGCCACTGAAGAAAGTACTCGGATCTACATCCGATTGCTTTGTTTTGGACCACCTGGTCTACCCTTGGCTTGCGTTCCGTGAGTAGCTAGAGGTCCTAGAGTTAGCATAAAAGTGAGTGTATGGTAAGGTTGTAGTTAGAAGCAGAAGTAGTCAGTGTTAAAAGAAGTCAATTGTCAGAAGTAACAAGTTGTTGTTGTACAAGCAGAGGAAAAACAACAACAACAACAACTCAAGAATCGGGATATGATAGATGATTGTTATATAAACAACCTCGCCAAGATTGAGGTCTGTGCGGTTGTACATTCGCGCGTTATTTGGAGAAGTGTTTCACCCAAATTTATAGAGCCATGTTGGTGCCCCCCGGAGGGACACAGACATGGCGGCTGTTAAGTAACAGAAACATCTGTTATTGAGGTTTGCTATTTAAACGAAAAGTTATTAATCTAGAGCTCCGACACTTCGTCTAGAGCAAGAACTGTTCAGTTAGCAAAACCTTACGCTGTGACTCATCTTTTGACCTACCCAAGAGCCTTCTCGGGCCGCCATTTGATGTCACGCAACGCATAAATTTAGAAATTCAAACGCGCTCTGTTACAAATGAAGAACGCTGTCGAGCTTAAAGGTTAATTAGAGAGTCTTACATTTGATGAACCTAAATTTTCAGTAGGATTAGGTATTTTCAATTTTGGAAAATGATGACGTCACATGAAGACCGGCAATACTTTTGAAAACGGTACATACCAGCTAAACCGCTACCATGAAATCTTATCGAGCGTGTAAGCTATGCTAACAAGGAGAAATATCCCAACATATGTGTTCTGCTTATAACAAGGTGTACACTCCTGGTAGTTCAGCCGAAGCTGAGTGTTTATTCTGCAGGTTGAGAAGAATCAAGTCATATCTCAGAAACAAGATGGTTGAGGAACGTTTGTCAGGACTTTCTCATGCACTCGTCACCTTAACATTGATATTGACGACAGGAGGAGGATGGTCCAATGGTGTATCGTTTACGAGTACAATTCACGTGCAAAGTACCGTGACTAGGAGAGGGACGTTGGAGAGAAGTGATTTCCCGCCAAAACGTTTCTGAACCTAAGATTGCACTCCCATTACACCCC